AAAACAAAAAAACTTGTAACCATGTGATAAAGCCCTGCCCAGGTCCAGGCTACAAGGAGCTGAAAAACTCAGAGCTGCAAGGGAGTGAGACTTTACCAAGCTACCTAGGTTCTTAGCAGATCAAAGAGGATTAATATGAGATGATGAACAAATCCTTGCTGAAAGGGAGGGGAAGGGGGGGTGAAGTAGGTTCTGTAACTGGAAGAAACTGGTTAGTTATCTTTAGAACATCTTGACTAAGCAACATGGCTCCAGTGAACTTTTCCAAACTAAATTTCAGGCCAAATCACCTCAGCTGCTCCCAGCACATCTATTTTGTGGCCATGTCCTGCTTTCCATGCATTCAGTAACCCTGAACTCTTGCAGAGGTTTCTGGTTTGTCAGTCTTTCAGCTTAAGGCAATTACAGCTGCAGCTTGAGACAGCTCAACAGGCAGTGTAGTGGTGCTCAACACTTCTTCCCCCTTAGTGTGGGGATCCATAAGCTCTCCTCTTCAGCTTCAGCACTTTCACTGGGTACTAATTACACATCCTGTGGTCCCTTCCTTCCTGCATTTCCTTGCTGTCCAAGCAGCTGGAAGTCTTCTTCCAGATCCTCCACTCTCCCCCTTTGACTTTACCTCCTTCCTGAATCTATTGTTCCTGCTTCCAGCAGAAGGCTGACACTGAAACAGTCACTGCCCCCAGCTGTAACCACAGTAGCCCTTTCTCTCAGATTCTCTTCAGGGCTTCACCACAGACAGTGCCAGACAGTTCCTAAAGAATGCTGCGTCCATAATTCTATGGATGTTTGTTTCACCAGTAGCTCTGCATCCCCTCTACACATTGCAGCCACCTATGGAGCTGAAGCACTGCTACCTACTCCCCCTGCACCCAAATCCTTCAGTCCTAGTGACCTGTTAGACAGTGGTGATTCCACTCTAAAAATCCTTTGTTTTCAAAAGAGCTTTCTCATTTTGCCTTGCTTATTACCTTGTCTTCTGGTCAGCTCTGCTTGCCTTTCTTTCATGGGTCAGTCTTGTGCCTAAGGCACACTCCCAATGCTTGTAGGGGCTGCAGGCAGCTAGTCCCTGTACTAAAGGGATTCAGTTTATTTAGAAAATTCCTGAGTGGGCTGATCTGCAGGGAAGAGAGATTACATACCTACTGGAAAATTTGGAAGAGTCATGTCTGACGGGTGGACAGCCCTGCTGGTTCTGACCTCAGGCAAGTTAGTGCCTGTGCTGTCAACTGCCCTTGAAAGAAGAGAGCTCAGGGTCTACTCATTTCTCAGTTTTTCACCTTGCTTCCATGTGGTGTGATGTGTGTGTCTTCCATTACTTGAGTGATTGTCCCCTGCCAAACATCCTGCTTCCAGCAGGGACACCTTTAACATCTCCAAACAGACCACCACAGCAAGATCTAAAACTAGTCCTCAGATCCAGGAAACCCCAGCCCACATCAGCTAGCATACCCCTACTTTGGGGCATATCTAAAGCTTCCCAGGTCCAAAGCACCTGCCAGGCCAGAGGCAATATTACCAAACATTTGCAAATCAACATTTCATTGTAATATTGGAAATGGAGCAAAAAAAAAAAAGCCTGAAGATACTCATGTATATACACACAGACATTCACTTAACAACTACTCAGGAGCAGCACACTCCTGCCTGGCCCTACACTCCCATCACCCTTTCCATCAAACTGCAGCAGTTTTTCTGGCAGCCCAGCAAGGCTGTCTGGCACAGCAGAAAGGAACAGTCCTCTCTTCTCCCTTTCAAGACTTCCTAGCCCTTGCCTTACTTATTCAGTGCTTGCACAAGCCCAAGAGGAGCTCAGCAGTGCAATGACAATCACTGTTGGAGCAGGGCTCGGTACACAACTCAACCCACAGCTGCCCCTTCCCAGAGTGGGTGCAAGGGACAGCACGTGCAGCAGGACCAGCCTTTTGGCTGCAACACAGCCCCAAATCACAGCAAGCCATCCATGACTACACTTCTCACTATTACCCATCTGTTGTGTTCCTTAAATTATGTGTTCCTTCAACCTTTTCTGGCTTTTCTCCAAACCTCAACATTTGCAAGACTGCAGTAAAATTGTGTCAGTTGTGAACTTTATTCACTGTACACACACTGTATTAGCTCCTTATCCTAGATCTTGCTAGTAGCATTGCATGGAGCCAATGACTGACATGACTGCCTGCCTTGGTGCTATACTTTTTCCTAGGGAGGCAGCTACTAATTACACCCAGTCCAGCACACTGGCAGCCTGGTCAGCCACAACCCTCAGCCAGCTGCTTCCCTTGCATCAATCCAAGTGAATACATGGCAGGGCACTCAGCTGACTTGACAGAAACCTAACCTAACCCAAGGAAAAGTTTTCCATATGACCCCTGAAACCACAGATAATTAGGAGCATCCTCTTACACATTGTCCCTTTCATCTGGGAAGGAGCATACCTGCTGAGAAACTGTCCCTTGTTGTAGTGAGGAGAATGCTTTCTACTCAGTTTTCCTCTCCTCCATTTGTGGCTGTGTTTGCTCCTTCCACTACTGAAAATAGCCAGGCTGCCCTGAAACACTGAGCAGAGATTTCTCCCAGAGTTACTGGCTATCCCCAAGGGAAATCACATGGATTAGTTAGTGTCTGTGAACCGCTTAGTAAAAGAGGAGGAAAAAAAATTGAATAAAAATTGAAAAAAACATATGTGTTAGGAATTGCTTCTTTGCCCAAGGCATCATTGTAGATTTCCGGTACCCTACCACCCAACATTGTGAACTACAGGAAACTACATCTCCCTGTTATTTTTTGGGTAGTTTACTGAATTTGCCAGCTCCTTTCCCAAAACTTCTCATTCAACAAAAGTGTGAGAGGCCAATGGGTCTGAATAGGAGAGGAGGACTCAGCCACCTCATGTCTCTCCTGCACAGTTCTATCACCCATGTTCTTTGCTGGGCAGTGAGAAAAAAGCAGGGTCCCTTTTTCCTTCTACCACCCTGCTTTTGGACAGACTCACAGAGAAGCACTTCTTACCTTTGGGTCAGGCCTGAAAGTTCAGGGCATGTTTTATCCCCGTCACAGCACTTCCCTCCTGAATCTCTCCAGCTCTTTCACAGTAACCTCATGCCCTCAGATTACCAGACTTTTGTATGAAAATGTGTCCCTGGTGGTATGGCAGACTTCCAAGATCATGCCTGGTCATCATCCTTTGCTTTCTTTTGCTGCCTTGGATAATGCTGGGAACTATCTTTTATTGGCAGAGGTGGATAACAGAAGAGGATCTCTGATTAGAGGGCTACATCAGGGTCTGGTGTCACAGCAGTCAGGAGGAAAGAGGTAGATGCCAGTTGGGATGTAGATGGATAGGGAAGCTGAGAGCCAAAGAACAGGCTGCCAGCTTGGAGCTCAGAAATTCAGCACTAAAGCACATCAGATGCAAAAAAAACAGATGCAGGAAATAGCAAGAACAGTGCAGTGACAGCACTCATTCACAGGGAACAGTCAGCAGCAGGAGGTCTTTCCTGTACTGACAATGGCAACAAAAAACTGATTATTTCTCAGACCAGCAGCATGCTCTCCCTGCTGCTTTTATGCAAAACTGATGGACAGGATCAGCAGCCTTGCCAGGATCTAGAGCAACCAGCATGGGTTTGAAGGCCTGCAAGAGACCCTGCTGAGGTAGAGAAGCTGAAGCAACCCTGCTGTAGCAAGCATTCTGAGGGCACAATGCAGTGAACAGAAACTGCGCTTCCTCCATGGAGGAGAGGAGCTGGCACTGTATCTCCCCAGGTCTCCTGGCACAGACCAGCAGAGACAAAGTGTGACACTGACCTACTGGCCTCTGAGGCTGCTTGGCTCCTCCTGAGCATGTGCCATTTCTCTCTGTCGTGATTTAACCCTGCATCCAAGCATCACGCTGCTCATTCCACCCACCCCACACCATCCACTGGGATGGTGAGAATTGGAAAAAGATAAAATTGGTGGGTGGAGATAAGAACAGCTTATTAAATGAAATAAAGTAAAATATAATAATAACAGGAAAAAAGGAATTAAACCCAAGAAAAACAAGCGATGCACAATACAATTGCTCATCGCCTGCTGACTGATGCCCATCCCATTCCCAAACACAAGAAAGAAACAAGCAGAGGAGGGGAGCAGCACCACGTAACTGATGATGACAGGGCAGGAGCAAGCAACTCAGGTTGAGGCAGCTCCAGCCAACATGAACACAAACACTCCCAATGCACTCTCTCATGTGAACTTCCTCCTTTACACAAGCTGCAGCTTACACAACCTGGCACCAGAGACTCCCTCTCCTGCCCTTGCGTAGCTTCATTGGTCAGGGCCCTGAATGCACTGACAGCCCTTCACTGACCAGAGCAGCCTCCCCTGCAGCTCTGCCCAAAACCCCTGCCCATGGGGTTTGGGGAGGGTGTGTTTGCATTTAAGCTCAGCCCAGAGTTCCCAGGCCCTGTCTGAGCTACTTTAGAGCATGGCAGTCTCTGGCTGTGCTTTGGTGATCTTAACCTTTAGGCTGGTTCATCAGCCTGACCTCAGGCTTGCCTTGCCTTATCACCACAGACACACCTGGCAGCCACTGGGGCTGATCCTGACCCATTTTGACTGCAAGCTACCTCATCACCATGAGCTTGGCCAGCTATCTCAATTCTTGGTGAAATCCAGGCTATGCCAGGCCTGCCCAGCTCTCTGTGGTCAGGTACTGTGGGAATGGGCCCTGGCTGCTGGCCTCAGGAACAGCCCCTCACAGTTCTCCCTGTCCTGGTGTGCAGCCAGCCCTTACATCAGCTCTCCTGGTATGACTGCCAGGACAGCTGCACCATGAATGGCATTGGGGAACTCAACTTGTTTAAAAATAGCTGTGAGGAAAATGCTATCAGTTACTTTTACCTGCATTGCTTCCCCAGCACATGTGTGTGTAATCCCAGAAATGGCATACAGGCACCATTAAGGTAGCAGAATAAAAGCAACAGAAACCAGGGAGTACAGAAGACTGCTGCCAAGAATGAGCTCTGTCAGGCTAGATCAGGCTTCACTATCCAGCTCAGAAACTCATCTCAGAACAGCTTCAATCAGATGTGTCAGCCACAAGCCTCTCATCTTACTGCATGTGCCTACCATATCAGGTCTCACTGTGACCATACAGTTGGAGCTTTGCTGATTCCCAGAACACAAGACCCTGCTAAACCTGCAAGGGTTTTTCTGCAGGGCTTTTTTTTCCCCTTAAAAACTCTGTTGCTCCTGATTGCATCTCTATGTCCCAATACTTTATGTATCTTCCTAAGATCATGGGTCCTAGGTTCCCATTGCCAGGAATTCTATTGTCTACCTTAACGTCTGTGGAAATGAGTGAAGAAAGCCTTTAAGTTTAAACTAAAAGTTGTCTTGTCCAGATATTAGTACATTTAATAGTTTCTTTTAGTGACAAGATGGTGCTGCAGAGCAACCTCTTTTCAGAGGTAAAGAAATCCCAATGCATTCCATCTCTGTAGTACCATGCTACTGATTAACTTTTGTTGTTATTCTCATCCTCCTGAACCTCTCATTGCTCTGCAGTCACTTTTTTTCTTTTTTTTTCTTTTTTGCTAAAACATGAAGTGGACTATATGCACTTCTAGCTCACAGCACAACCATATTTTTTCTATTTTTCTTACATTATAACTGAATGACTTTCTAGCCAATACCCTACTGTTTCTAGGCAGGTAACACAGCAGTATTAAGGGCCCTGACATAATTTTTGCTCTGAAGTAACAGCTTCCCTACCTTGATTACTGGCTCATGATTCCTTGATTACTGCATAGCCAAGTAAGAGCTTCTCGAGAAGTCTCCCCTGATTAAATCAGGGCTATGAAGATGGAGAAGAGCCTGAAGGGGAAGCCATACCAGGTGTGGATGAAGTCACTTGGTCTTTCAGCCTGGAGGAAATTGAAGGGACCTCATCCCTCATCATGGTTTTCCATATCCTCACAAGGGGAAGTGTAGGGGCAGGTACTGATCTCTTCTCTTTAATGACCACTATCAGGCTAGAGTTGTCAGTGGAGATTTAGGTTTGATATGAGAAAAGTGTTTGGGTGTTTGGACACTGGAACAGGCTGCCCAGGGAAGCGGTCACAGCACAAGCTTGGCAGAGCTCAAGAAATGTTATTACAATGTTCTCAGGCACATGGCATGACTCTTAGGGATATCCTGTGCAGGGCCAGGAGTTGGACTCGGTGATCTATGTGGGTGCCTTCCAACTCAGGACATTCTGTGGTTCTGTAAATCATTTCCAAATCCCCGTTCGTTGTGCCCAGTGCCCTGAGGCTGGCTGCCGGAGCAGGTGATGCTGCAAACGCTGCTCTGAGATGACCCACGGCAGGCACGGGCCCAGTGCTATTCTAAAGCTCCCCTGTCTCGGTCCGGGCCCGCAGCGGCCCCCAAAGCACAGTCCTGGGCCACGAAAGCGCTGCGAGCTCACGGGGCTCTCGGGGCGTGCAAAGCCCAATATGTGCGCACAGTGATGCCATGACCCCCACGAGGCGTGCAGCCGGCAGCTGGAGCAGCGGCCGGGGGGACCCGGAGCTGGCGCTGCCCCACACCCCGGGAGCGGAGGGACCTCGCTCTCCTCTCGCCCTTCACACCCACGGACGCGCCGGGGGGCCGGCCCAGCACGGCTCTACCGCGGCCGCGGCGCCGATTGGGCCCGGCCGGCTGCCGTCGCCGCGGGGGTGTCTGGGAAGGAGAGATCATGGCGGCGGAGCCGAGCAAGACGGAGATCCAGACTCTCTTCAAGCGGCTTCGGGCAGCGCCGGCCAACAAGGTAGCGGGGAGTGGCCGGGGTCCGCCGGACTGTCTGTGCCGGGCTGTTGCTCTGCGGCCGCGGCCTGCGCTCCGACTGGGCCCCGGTGGGCTGCGGGCCGCGCTGCGGCGGCTGTTGGGGCGGCCGGGCAGGGGCCCTTGGGGAGCGCCTGGGCAGAGCGGCCGGGGCCGCCGAGCTGTGGCAGGGGGTGGCGGAGCGGCAGAGCCGTCGTTTAAACCTGGCTGTCCCTCTGCCTTCGCTTTAGTCGTGCTTCGACTGCGGCGCCAAGAACCCGAGCTGGGCCAGTATCACCTACGGGGTCTTCCTGTGCATCGACTGCTCCGGCGTCCACAGGTCCCTGGGCGTACACCTCAGCTTCATCAGGTGCGTGGGGAGCGCTGCCGCCGGCTCGCCTGGAGCAGCCACCCCGCCCCGGGTGGGGGCACGCAGGGATCGGGAGGGAAGCCTTATCGCCGAGCCATCTCCTCGGGGGTTACGGGGCTTGCGTGCGGGAGGTTCTGGGTCACTCAGCACTTCCAAAATGGAGTTTCCAAAGCACCTCAAGTGGAACGTCGACATGTTGCTTTCGCTACCCTTGCAGAAACGTTATTTGGACTGGCATTTTAGGAAGAGAGACGTGAGAGGGGTGCGTGAATCTCGCCAGTAAGGCAGCAGAGTGGTGTACATAATTTTTCGTTATGCTGAGTAAGGCAAAAGGAGGAATATTGTTTAATCTTTTTGGTATCAGCCTAATGGGGAAGATGGTGTTGGCTTTTCAGCCTACTTCTTGTTTTCACTACTTGCAAAAATTAGCGTTTTGAGTTAAGAGAACTGTGACCTTTACTTGTTAGGAGAGAAGTTGAGTAACTGGTATGAGACACTCTGTGTCCCTTAGCTTTACTTGGACGTAGTCTCGGTTGCTTTGTCACGTGTTTTGGCCTAACCTGAGGGACGGGCTGAATATGAGTCTCTCATGTTGTGGCAAGATCACATGTAGAACGAAAGTTCTTGGCTGTGCTTTCCTAGCTCAAGCTCTGCCCTCTAAACAAGCAGTACAAGGGAGAGAGCCTCAAAATTTGGATAAAAGCTGGTCTTTTTCCTCACTTTAAAAGTTGAAATTAATTTTTTGGAGGAGCAAAGAAACTCCCGAGATGTTCTTTCCACTTTTGCCTCCTGCACTTTGGAATAGTAGTGAGATATCTCACCATTTTAGGCCAGAGCTCAGTTTTGCATTTGGTTTGCCTGGTCTTTATTAATAGAAATAATTGGTTCTCACACAGGTCCACAGAGTTGGATTCTAACTGGAACTGGTTCCAGCTGAGGTGTATGCAAGTGGGCAGTAATGCCAACGCGGTGAGGAGCCTCTGTAGGCATTTTGCTTGCTTTCCCTCTTGCTAATCCACATCCTCTGTTTCTTGGGGTTTTTTTTCCTTTGTGTGGCTTTCTTGGTACCAGTGTGACCTGAAATGTGTAATGAAGGGGGGAATTTGTCAAGTGTGCTTGGACATCAGACTGTGACCTTTGCATGTGTTGTTTTCAGATGTCTCATTTTTTTTCACCTCATTTAAATGAGAGGCATAGCCTTCTTAAATGATAGAAGTTAACAACAGTGATCAGTTTGAAAGCTCATGCTCAGCTTTGTGACTCAGAATCATCTCTCTGTAGAGAAGGAGGATGATTTTCATATGCCCCTGGAGTGAGATTTCTTGTAGAAAGCTGCTCAATGAATGGTTAGTTTATGCTGTGTTCTCAGATTTTCATCCTCTGTGTCTGGGAAGTTTTCTTTTCCTGTTGAGTTTGTCTAGTACTTGCTGAAGTATGATCTAGCAGTCAGGAGACTGAATATTCCTCTCTTTTCAGACTGCTTTCTTCCGCCAGCACGGCTGTACCACCACAGATGCCAATGCTAAATATAACAGTCGAGCTGCCCAGATGTACAGGGAGAAGATCCGGCAGCTGGCAAGTGCTGCCATGGCCAAGTACGGCACTGAGGTAGGTCTGAGAGCTCTGGAGTGCTACATGGGGAGTGCTGGATGCTGACTCTTGGAGGATACCTTCTTGTTACCCTCTCCTCTCTTTAGTTGCTTATAGATGGACTGAGTGGAGCCCCTGGGCACTCCCCTGAGAAGAGTGATGCTGATTTCTTCATGGAGCACACACAGGTGAGAAGAGCTGGCTAAACCAGGCAGCCTTAGCAGCTCTCCAATAGCCAGCTGTTCAGCCAGGAGCGGTCCCACTTAGCTTGGAAGACTCTAAATTGTATAATTAATCAGTAGTAATGTGGAGGAAGTCAGATTCAGTCATCTGCCTGGGACATAGTCACAGATCTGAACAATCCCTGTAATATCCATGTCCTTTGTTTTTGAGACCATCTTTCATTTCAAGAACTCAAAGCTACCACCTATGCCCTGGAAGATGCTTTGTGTGTTGTGTTAATGCTTAGTTTCTTTGTACAGTTAAAGCAAGGATTAGCAAAGCTATTACTTTGAACTTCTGGTTTAGAGGAAACTTTTCAATCCTGGTAAACTGGATTTGGGCAACTGCACCATGCCAGGCAGACTTTCTCAGGTAATGCCAGAATTGGCTGTATGGCAAATAGAGACAGTGGAAGTGGAAGTGGAGCTGAATTTTTTCCAGGAAAACTCATTCACGCTTTCTCAAGATTTAAACTTGTTTCCTTTCATCTGGGAAGTCCTTACATTAGCCAGCTTGTCAAATGATTCTGTCATTCCTCCTGGCCTTACATTCAGCTTAGCTTCCTTTTGGTTGTTTTCATTTTTGTCCCGCTAAGGGAATGTGGACTTGTCCATATGTTATGTTCAAGGAAGGCATGGTCTGAAGTTTGGAATAAGTTTCCTTTGGCCTAAAATTGAGTACAGGTCACTAAACCTGTAGTAAATCCTGGATTGTTTGGTTCATTTGTCTTCTGGAAGTAACTAGAATGAGTATCTCCTTGCAGTCTTCCAGTATCTGGGATGTAGCAGATGCTAGCCAGAATCCTGCACAGTCTTCTCCAGAGATGGAAAAAGCAGCAAAGTCACCAGAAGGCAGTGAAGTTTCAAGTGAGTTCTTTACTGAATAATTTTTCCAAGAACCTGCCCTCATTTCCAGGAGAATACAGTTCTGTACCACTGTTGGAAGGGCTGAACTTATCCTTTGGTTCAGGCCTGAAGGAGTGGAAGTTCTGCACACTCTTATGATGTTTAGTTAAATTAGTGGAGACTTCTAAAAACACTGCTCCATTTGGGCTCAGTTCCCCGCCTTCAGACGTTATTTGTCTAAACATTGTTCTCTACCCCTTGAATTTGCTGGGTCTGAAAATTACATAGGACAGAAAAATTTCTAGGGTGACGGACAAGGAAACCAAGAGCCTGGGGGCATAGCTGTAATTTGTAACAGCTTTGTATATTTCCCTGCAGATTGTTTGCTTTCTTGTACTGTGTTAAGAACACTGCAGAAGGAATAATTTGCTCTGTGGAGACCTAAAGTTGTTTTGCTTGTGAAATTGCGTATTTCAAGCAGTAACTGGATTTATATGTGGGTGCAGAGGAGCTAGGAGAGATGTAGTGCAGCTGTGAACATACTGGAAAGAAAAGGGTTGAGAATCAATCTGCTGAATGTTCTCTTCTGGTTTTGTGCCCGCAGATCCCAGCCAAGGTCCATCTATTGACTTGTTGAGCACATCTCCTAAGGCTCCTCTAGGTAAGACTCTTCACTCTCAGATCAGTCTTGCTCTTAGACCCACTGCTCAGTAGTAAGCTCAGTGAAGTTGGAAACAATGTGCCAGTTTCCAGAGTGCCTAAACAAGCTTATCTCCCTGTTGAGCCAGTAGTTAGGATGTTCCTGAAGCCCAAAACCAAGTCAGTTTTCTGGAGGTTTCCTCCTCATTTGGATAATTGAGTTCAAAGCTGTTGCTTTCCGAAAAGCACGTTTTCCTGGTTTTGAGCTTTGGACAAAACTTGCCACTTTCATATCTAGGACTTGGGTGATCAGGGCCACGTGGCTGGTTTTTTTTTATTTGTTTCCCTACAGAACCTTTGGAGGCAAATGAATTTTTAGTTTTCAGAATAATAGGGATTTGTATCTCATTCTCCCCTGCCATTACTATCCTGGCTGCACACAGAACATCTAGCTGGAGCTTCTTCACTTATTGAGAGCGTGCTCCTAGCCCACAGTGGGTTCATTCTGGGTGGAAAGCCTGTGTCCTCAAGTGTCTGTTCATTCCCCATGTTTTACGTCTCTTCCTCAGACATGTCCATGTATCTGTCAGCACAAGGGGCCGCTCCTGCTGGAGGTAACTGGCTAACAGCTGGCCTGCGCTGGCTGCTTGTGACAGCTCTGCTTGCCCCTCCTGAGATTCTGCCTTCAATTCTAACTTTAGCTTCCTGTGCTTACAGAGAGAGAACAAGACAAAGCTTATATTGTTGTATTGAGATCTAAACCAGATATGTCGTATCTGTAAAGAGACTGTATTAACATTTCTGTTAAATGTTTCCTGAAATATAAAAATCTCCAAACATAAACCCAAACAACCTCGATTCAAGTGTTAGGAACAGCAAGTGGAAAACAGTTTCAGATAGTGTGAATGTTTTGAATCCCCTTTTTTAAAAAGACTTATTATAAGACTAGAAAATATAAAAGAAAATGTGTCAAGAATAATTTATGGGCTAACAAAAGTCATGTGGCTGTAGAAAGTCAGGAGACACACACACACACATGCACACGAAATAAAAGCCCAAAAAGGGCAGTAAAAGATTTTGG